AAGCCTCAATCAACCCTCTAAAGGACCCAGGCATAATCCAAGGGATCCCAAATAGCCCAATCATCAAATCCCAACAGTCCCTAGCCATGCTGAAGAAGAAGGTGATCAATGGTCTTCTCATCTCGCAAGCACATATAACATCCATTAACCACCAACTGATTCCTCCTCCTCAAATTATCCTAAGTTAAAATCCTACCCAAGACAGAAATCCAAGCAAAGAAGGCCACCTTAAGGGAAGCCTTGGATCGCCAAATAAACTTCCAAGGGAAAAAACCTCCAGCGCCAACCGTAAGACATTTGAAGAAGGATCTCACCTCAAAACAACCCTGAGGGTTAGGAATCCAAAGCTAACAATCCAGATCCCCAACTGTAATCGTCTGACCTTACAACAATTCCAAAAACCGGGTGACCTCCTCAATCTCCCAATCCTGGAAGTGCCTCCTAAACTGAACATCCCAAGTCAATCTCCCGTTATCAAGATGATAACAGTCAACCACCATGGCCTGTCTATGAGAAGCAATCCTGTAGAGACGTGGGAAAGCGAGAGCAAGAGGAAGCTCCCCACACCAAAGATCCTCCCAAAATCTGATTCTCCTACCATCCCTGATACGAAACCGAACATGCTTGCAGAAATCATCCTACCCCTTCCAAATGGCAGTCCAAACCCCCACACCCCTAGGACCACACACCACAAGGGAACTCCACCCTCCACTGCTCTCCCCAAATTTATGCACGATAACCCTCCTCCAGAGCCAACGCCTCTCCACCCCAAACCTCCACAGCCATTTCCCAAGGAGAGTCTTATTGAAAGGCAACAATCTCCTAATCCCTAAACCACCCCTCCGAATTGTATAGCACACTTGTTCCCAACAAACCAAGTGAAACTTAAACTCCTCCCCTTTCTCCCCCCCAAAGAAAATTGCGCTGCAACCTCTCAATCCTCTCCGCTACAGAGGAAGGAATCTGAAAGAGAGATGAAATAAGTGGGGAGGCAAGAAAGAGTACTCTTAATCAGAGTGACCCGACCCCCCTTAGAATCTATCCACAACCGGATCCCAACTCCCCACACATCTCAAGGGAGCACCCAGGGGCAACCCTAAGTAAGAAATAGGAAAGGAGCCAGTGCGACAACCAAGAATCTGGGCAAAACTCTCAATCTCAGGGACCTCCCCAACCGGCACAAGAACACTCTAACCAACATTCACCTTTAACCCAGAGACAACTTGAAACCAGACCAAAACACATCTCAAATATCTCATCTGAGCCGCATCAACATCACAGAGCACTAAAATATCATCAGCAAACATCAAGTGGGATATCTCCAACTGGCTGGCAACATCCCTGCCCACCTTAAAGCCTCTTAGAAATCCCAAATCAACCGCCCTCTTAATCAATCTACTAAGGGCCTCCATCACAAAAAGGAACAAGAACGGAGAAAGAGAATTCCTTTGTCTCAACCCCCTCGAACTGGAGAAAAACCGGTCGGAGCACCATTCACAAGAACTGAAAAACAAGCATAGGAAATACAATACAAAATCCATCCCCTCCAACGCTCCCCAAAACCCATCCTCTCCATCAAGTAGAAGTGGAAACTCCAGCTCACATGATCGTACGCCTTCTCGATGTCCAGCTTGCACAAAACACCTGGACTCCCACTACTCAATTTGGAGTCAACATATTCGCTAGCAATAAGAACTGAATCTAAGATCTGTCGACCTCCCACAAAAGCATTCTGAGAGTCAGAAATGACACCATCCAAGACTTTCCTCAACCTAGAGGCCAGGACTTTAGCAATCAACTTGTAAATACACCCCACCAAGATTATAGGGCGAAAATCCCTAACATTCAACGCCCCTTCCTTTTTCGGAATGAGAGCAATAAACGTGGCATTCAAGCTCTTTTCAAAAGAGCCCTGAGCATAGAAAGCATGAAAAGTACCCATCACCTCCTCACGAACCACCTCCCAGCACTCCGAGAGAAATCTCATGAAAAAACCATCTGGACCTGGGGCTTTATCCCCATTACAACTCTTCAGCGTGGAAAGAACTTCCTCTTCTGAAAACGGCTCCTCCAAAACAGAGCTCTCCTCACCCGATAAAGAATCAAACTAAAGCCCTTCAAGCAAAGGTCTCCAACCAGTAGATTCTGTGAACAATATCGAGTAGTAATCTGCAATACCCTTGCAAATCTCCTCCTCCTTATAAAACACCTCCCCATTCACACGGATTCTCCCAATGTGATTGCCCCTTCTATGAGAATTGGCAAGTCTATGAAAAAAAATTGTGTTATTATCCCCTTCTTTAAGCCACAATGCTCTAGACTTTTACCTCCACGAAATTTCTTCCATAACAGTAATCTCAGCAAACTCCGCCTGACACTCCACCCTCCTAAGTCTCAAGGAATCCGACAAAAAACCCCGACCCTCCATCTGATCAAGATCAGCAATCTCTGAAAAAACCTTATTCTTCCGCCAAACAAAATTACCGAAAACCTCTTTATTCCAAACTTTAAGATCGATCTTCAACAAGCGCAACTTACATGCAAGAGAATGACTAAGAGAGCCACTCACACTATACCCCTCCCACCAGGATCGAACACGCTCCAGAAAACCCTCAGCCCAAAGCCACATATTCTCAAATCTGAAAGGGGATGTTCTACTACGCAATCCACCACAATCCAACATCAACGAAACATGATTAGATAAAGGGCGAGTCAAGGTAGCCTAAACAACATCTGAGAACTTCTCCTCCCACTCACTCGACACAAGGAACCTGTCAAGACGAGAGAAAGTGGGAGGAGAACGACCACTAGACCAACTAAAAGAACCACCCACCAAAGGCAAATCAATCAACCTCGACACATCAATGAACTCCGAAAAAGACTCCATGTCAAACGTCCATCTTCCCCCCGTCGACCTCTCGAAAGGAGAACGAACAACATTGAAGTCCCCACCAATACACCAAGGCAACTCTCATCGCCTACGGACCTCACCCAACTCCTCCCAAAATAAATGACACAAACTGTCTTCTGTAGAGCCATAAACACCAGAGAAAACCCAACGAAACTCGTCCTCCGACAAAGAGAACACACAAGAAGCAGAGAAAAACCCCACCTGAGAATCCACCAAAGAAACCCAACGATTATCCCACATGATAAGAACTCCACCCACAAAGCCAATCGCATCCAGAGCAATCCACTCCACAAACCTCTCTCCCCCCTCCCCCCCAAAACCCCAACAACACAAACTTCGCACAATTAAGTCTGTCATCGATGCAATCTTGGTCTCTTGCAAACACAAAGGCGAATCTTGGATTTGGAACCTTGCTCTGATACCAACTAACGTAACGGAAACGATAAAGAACAGGGTTAAACCCTTGAATTCACAAAGAATATACTCACAAGAGAGAAACTAAAATTATATTGATAATAATGATGTGTGCAGACTTACATCTCTTGCCTTTATAAAGGCAAGTCAAAGACAAAATAAAAATAAAGCATGCATGAAATAATATTAAAGGGGAAATCTGAGATTTAATGGACTTAAATCTTGCAATGGAGAATAATATCTTATATTTTTGGCAACTACACAAAATCTTCTTATTTATTTTCTGAATACTCCTTAAATCTTGCAATGGAGAATAATATCTTCTATTGTTGGCAACTACACCAAATCTCCTTAAATCTTGCAATGGAGAATAATATCTCCTATTTCCCTCCTTACCGTTTCCGTCTCCCTGATTTGCGGTGACCATGTATGCTCATATACACATGAGCAAGCTGTTCTACATCATGTGACGACCACGCGCTTCTTCGGATCCTTCTCGAGCTTGGGGGCGAAGGTTGTGGTTATGTCGGTGCCGCCTCCGTTGCGACCACCGTTGAAGTACGATCTTGGTGCAGTTTGATTAGGCAACTGTGCCCCTCATCCTTGCTTTTTGGGCTCTGTTTCTAGCTTATACATACTGTAATAGAGGCTGTAATCATTTATATCTGAAGGCAAAACATTTTTCTTTATTGTTTTTTATGTTACAGAATTACTTGTGCTAGTGTAATCAAGACCTTCTATGAGGATGGACCTGGATACAGGACATGTACATGATCATACAATCATCATACAAACACAGTGATAACTGATACAACATATTCTTAAAGAAAACTAGAAAAGGCACAGAGAGTGAGGATACGACAATATCTCTACACACGTGTATAAAAAATGGATTTGAGAATAACTTTAAAATAATAGTCATTTGTGTTTTATGAATATATTATGACTAACAATCGCGTTTACAAAATTATCACAAACAACTATTTTTATAAATCCATCAACTGCCATGTAATTCTGGCTCCTAATACCAAAAAAAAAAAAAAAAATTAATAATAATAATAATAAATAAAAAATCACATGAAAAAGATAAAAATTATGCTGCATGTAATTAGACACATACCTTCTAATTATATCTCAACTCTTCTCTAAGAAAGTACAACTATTTAAAATCCTTATTATACTTTTCATAATATGATATTACTAGAGATGATCTTAAAGTTAAACACGTATCATACATGTTTTAGGAGTATCCAAGAAATATTAGATAAAAGTTCAAAATTTTAAATAAATATTTAAAAATATAGAAACAGTAGTATATACATGTACCTTAGAACTGAGTTGTATCAATGTCCAATACGAATACAACTGCGTTATGGAAGTATCAATGCTTCAAAAAAGACCTTAAAACATAACATGTTTGGCTATTTTGTGCCATAAAGCACTCACAATCTATGGTTTCTTTTCTTTCTTTCTTTCTTCTTTTTTTTTTTTTAGAGGAATAGACCAGTTAAGTTCTGAAAAAAGAAAAGACAAAACAGAAAGTAAAAGACATGTTCACCAGAAAGTACGGACTTACTAAGAGCAAAAATGGCAAAACAGGATTAACGTGGTGAACACAGAAAATGTAGACACCAGTCTTGTTAAGTTTGTTGCATAAAACATTAAAACTGCTTACCTGTTTGTAATGCCGCCAAAAAAGAGCTGGCGCAACTGTGCATCACTTCCAACATTCATATACTTAGCATTGGGACAATACTTAGATGCCCAATTGCGAAACCTATTCACAGCAACCTGTTGCTCCGCTCTAGCTACTTTTTCAATCTCTGCGAAATAGGCTCGGTCGACCAGCATCCCCTCAGTTTCCATTTCTACTAAAAGCTCACCAAATGGGCGCCAATATTTCATGTAAAAGTCGAACATTGTTCCTTTGCAGACTCCCTCGAGTTGCCACTTCATAACAACTAGTTTACTTTTCAAGCTCTTATAGAGCTCTAATGTGCTTATTGAATCCAAGGCAGAATAACAAATCCATGGTATCCGCTCTTCTCTTTGAAGCTCTTCAACAGGAAGGATAGTGATAATTTTGCCCTCAGATCCATCTTTCTTCACCTTTCTCCTGCCGAAGATGGTTACCATTGAAACTTTACCAATCAAACTTTTATCAAGGTGGCACCCCTCACCAGACATGACCTTAGGGTCACATGTAAGTGCTTCTAAAGAATACCCACCCAGTATTCGCCTTGAAGAATCCCATAATCGAGCCATATGCATTGTATCAGCATGAAAGCCAGATATTTTAAGCCCATAGTTCCGCACTATATGACTGTCAAAGCTATAGTTGTGCCAAACCTACAGAAAAGGCAGGCAAGCAGCAATTGAACCAATTTTAACCACAGAATGATGACCTTCAAGTCACCTGTAAATCACTAAGAAAATGTTTCACCTTTTTTACGGAAGGATCTTCAAAAAATGGAGCAAATTCGGCTAAAAGACTTCTGCCACCACCATCTAGGACATCTACCCAGAGACAAGACTTCCCATTGCCAAAATTTGCTGCTGGCTCAGAAAAGATACTGAAGCAAATTAATTCTCCATGATCAATAGGTGTTTCCTGTTTCACATCTATTTTAGCCACCTGCAAGTATAAGCAAACAGAGAAATAAGCTCAGAAGTAGCTCAGGATCACATGTAACTTTACTCATGCATGGATAAAATCATGTGAAATAAGTATTCTGTATGCCTTTTTGTTGCATAAACAAGTACATAAATAGACACATTGTATAGAATGTAAGCTAAGTAGAAGACATGCCTCTGTATCACATGCATAAACGTGATGCCTGTATTGAGTTGTAAGCATCCGAACAACTTCCTTCGCTACAGAGATATTATCAACTACAAGAACCTTATCATATATGTGAGCAAGCCTCTCACGAAGATGGGACTGGCAAACACCTCTGGCTTCTTCATCAGTTATTGGCTCAATATATTTTTCATCTGCACTATCAGTGGTGCTGGCTGGAAATAGTTTTCGACTTGTTTCTTTCCTTTCCTCTGAAAGATTCTCTGACAACAAACCATTGGGCTGGTCATCTTTCGATAATGTATGTGCTGAATTTAAATCCTTTTGCCTTGGATGATTAGACATGGAGCCACTAACATTAATAGAGGCAGGCACACTATATTTTGAACTTCTGCATTCATAATCACTGCGACCTTGCAAACCCTCATCCTTACCTTGTGCATTCTTACCATGAAGATGGGACTGGCAAACACCTTGGGCCTCTTCACCAGTTCTTGGCTCAACATATGTTTCATCTGCATCATCAGCAATGGCAGTAGATTTTGCATCTGCAGCATCCCTTTCTGGCCTTGCTTTCCTTTCCTCTGAACGTTTCATTGACAAACTGTTGGACTGGACATCTTTCAATAATGTAAGCTCTGGATTTAAATCCTTCTGCACTGGATGATTAGACATGTTGCCACTAACATTAATAGAAGAAGGCACAGTTGATTTTGAACTGCCATCTTGCAAATCCTCACACTTACCTTGTGCATTATTCAGAAAATATGCCTTTCTCTTTTCCCGTATTTCCTCACATGATTTAGCCCATAATAGAGCTCCACCAGTACTTTGCCCAACGCTGTTGGGCTGTGTCGTTTCAGAAGCAATATCCAAATTGTTGCCGCATCGATGTGTTGGAACTTGATTTTCTTCCTGCTTAATTTGTTGGCAAACTGATTCATTTGAGGGTTTGGAAGTATCTGGCAAAAGTGGGACCATAAAAGCACGTGGTGCAGAAGGATTTCTCGCCTTTGGCTCAACTTTAAGCTCCCAACCACCGGATGGCATGGTGTTATAACTTGAACTATGTTTAAGATGAAGTGATCTACCAAACATGGTTAGAGTGGAAAATGGACATTTGCCAGTCAAGAGTGCCAAAACTTCTGGCCTGAAATTTTAATCAACAAGGAATAAGAAAAACAGAAGAAATTGATGAAGTAAAAAAAAAAAGGGTATTCCTTTGCAAGCTAAATATGAAAGAAGGCAATACCAATTACAAGCATCTACAACATCAATAAGATAATATATAATCACAACGTCCAACAATTTTTTTTTTTTTTTTATGACGTGGGAACCCCCGCAACTACCCACCCTTTAGACTTGTAGCTACCAGGTAAATCCCCGGCTATCCACCCCGACCCCACAGTGCGAGTAACAGGTAAGTGAGGAACTTCCAGAGTTGGAGGAGAATCGAACCCACACCCAAGTACTAAATTTGGACAACGTCCAACAATTGATCATATGAAACTCAACAAAAGTTTACCCCAATTACTTGTTTCTCCACTGATAGTTAGTTTTTTAAAATTATTTTTAACTACTTCAATGAATTCTCTTTTTCCATTATTATCTTACCACACATCCATCTCAATATTTGCACTTTACGAAGACTTATTTTATGACCTATTGTTTCTTGGTTGCTTATCATCATGTCCCATGAAGCATGATTGGTCTAACAACTATTTTATAAAAATTACCTTTCACTTTTAGATATATAAGTCGTTCACATGATATGCCCCAAAAGCATCCTTCTAACTAACTCACCCTGCTTCAGTTCCAAGTTTAGTATTATCTCCTATTATATAAAATCAATAATAGATGACAAATCTCTTTAACAACAATAGCTTAGCAATGGTTTTTTAGAACTCAGTGCTAGTATTTAAATTTATAGCAAATTTATAGAACCCCAAGGGCCTGAAATCATCCTGGCTATATCAATTACTATCCCAGCAATCTAAGGGCGATTATGAAGTAGAAGATAACACAAAGCTGAATGTCCTAAATGTACCAAGTACCAACTTACGTATAAATATTAAGTACCAACTTTTTACGCAAATACACATTTATTATAAATATACAGAAGAAACTAACCCACATGCCACATTTTAAAACCCCACTAATCCATGAAACTTAATAAGTGGATTACAAGTGGGGATTATAAATCGAATAACCTTCGTATCAAAAAGTATAAAATACCACAAAGCAACGTTAAAAAAAAAAAAAAAAAAAGGTTAGGTCTGAGTGCCATTAAAACCAAACCTGTGAAGGGCTTTCTTGGAGGAAGAAGACACCACAGAGGAAGAGAGGGCACGTGATTGAGATAGGCAGACACAAGAACGGAAAGAAGACTTAAAGGGGGTGCCTGGGGTGTAAACCCCCATTGCCATGGACTCTACAACTCTCCTAATCTTACTGATTCTACAATAATAAGCCGTTTTGATAGACTTTTGATGGGACTGTAAATAACAGTTGTTTTTACAGTGTTTATAGTTTGTCTTAGAGCGGTGGTCTTGAGTAGGGCGCAGAGCCGAAGGAGGAACCCAGGAAGAGAGAGAAAGAGAGGAGAGAGAAAGATGGGGGGAAATCTGAAGTCAAGGTTAAACCCTTGCTCTGGAAAAACCCCAACCCCCAATATTGCGGACGAAGGCAAATATTTGTCTCCCCGTTTCACTACTACCCTATTTACTTGACAGAGAGACAAAAATGCCCCCATCATTTTCAGCAGCTCCTTCTATTCTTGGCTCTATTATTTGTGCTATCCCGTGCCCTTTTAGAACTTTATTTATTTATTTCATTTAAAGCTGATGAAAATAGGTTTAAAAAAATTAATAATACTGGATTGATGCGAGTGCACTTTCATAATTTTATTTATTTATTTCATTTAAAGCAGATAAAAATAGGTGTTTTTTTTTAATAAGACTGGATTGATGAGAGTGCCCTTTTATAATTTTATTTTTTCATTTCATTTACGGCGGATGAAAATAGTTTTTTTTTATTTTTATTTTTGATAAGACCACTATTTGAATTTTGTTTTCACTAAAATTAAATGAGTTTGCATTTCTTGGATACATTGTATAAATCATACCCAATATATTTAAGGGATGTATATTCATTTCGCTTTTTGATTTAAATATCAACGTTCTTTCACTAATTTATTTTATGTTTAGGTTTTTTTAACTTAATTAATTATTTTTCATTACCGTATGGTAGGGGGTGGCCATTCGTGTTCGTGTCCTAAAGGTATTATACTAAATAGGCCAAAAATTTAACCCATTTAATAATTGTATCAAGAATAATCAACACTAACCCAACCCGTTTATTAAATAAATAAACGTATTAATCCGTTTAATGATCTGTTTATTAAAACAAGACATTTAATATTTAATCAAATACTAAATAATACGAAAAAAAAATTGTCATAATTAACCCAAATTTTCAAAATAAAAAAGAAAAATCATAAAGTATAGACAAGGTTTATGTTGAAATGACTTAACTATCTATAGTAATTAGGTTTAAACAGGTAACATATTACATAAGTCATATTTACGATTATAACATGTTAAGTTAAACGAGTCATACATGGGTTACACGAATTGAACTACTTAATTCTAACTCGACACAGTTAAGTAAACGGATTAATCGTATCAATCCAAGCTTTTATGATCTAAATCCGTTTATGCCAAATTCAAATCTTTTTAACGTCGTATTCGTGTCGTGTCTTAATTGACCACCCGTGCCATTTAGTCAAACGTCATTTACTCAAGTGATATTAGGTGTTAGCTAAGGCATCTCTGTTGATCCAAAAAAATGGTTTATGACCTTTTCATTGTATCACTTTTATAAATGAGTAAATTTAAAAACAAATTTTAAATTTGAAAGAGTTATAAACTAAAAATTTAAATGAAAAGAAGCTCGAAAACATTAAAATTTATGTTTAATGCTCCTCAGAAGTACCTTCATGCAATTATCAACTTAATATGTGAAATAGAACCTTATGGGACAGAGAAAATAGCTGAAATGTAAACTAAAGTTGGTGATACGATCAAAAAGAAAAACAAAAACTGTGCAGAATATACATCATGTACTTGATGCAATTTCAAGTTACCAATTCTGCACTTGATATGGTTGCTTTCACATTATCCAGAATGAAATAATAACTTGTTAGTTCTATCTTATTTTTGAAATGAACATGAAAGTCACTTTCAAATTAAACCTTAATAACCAAATACTTATAATAACTTGCAGATTAAATGAGTTACATTTTTGTAATTTGCATCATAATTTATGACCCTCCCTTCTGAAAAATTATTACATGATTCCAGAACCATCAATAATTGATAGACACCCACTTAAAAAAGCAAATACAAACTAACACATTTGCTTTACATGTCAACTAGTGATTTGTAGAAACTAATGAGAAATTATTACATGGTCTGAGACTGTATGGTTCGATCAATCATAACCCGACATACAAGAAAAAAAGACTGCTGAACACGGGAGACAGAAGCGCTCATTAAGTAGAACATGGAATTGAATGGTTGCCTCTAACATAGTATTACAAGTCATTGCAAAAAAAATTGGCTTTGCCGTCTCTGGGATACTGATGAGTAATGTGGTTTCTCTTTATAGAACAATTACAAAAAACAGTAGTAATATTAAAGTAGTGGTGGGTTGGCTTTAGAATGATATTCCAGTTCCTATGAGCAGTGGCGTAGCCACACAGGGACAAGTGGGGCAGCTGCCCCCACTGAATTTTTATTTTTTTTTAATTTTATACGGAAAGATTTTTATATTTTTATAATTGTCCCCACTAAAAATTGACATTGCATATATATATACTATATATATAACCAAATGACCATTCACGGTATTATAAAATATATATATATATATATATATATATATATAATCTTTCAAAAAAATATGATATTTTGTTTTTCACTTTCTCAAAATATTATATTCTTTCCCACTTTTCCCAAAAACACAAGATATTCTTTCACTATTTTGACTTTATCACAAACAAATGGGTTGTTAATTTCTATCACATTTTCAATCTTCAACATTTCTCTTTCAGCGAGTCTTCAATATTTCAAAAATTTACAAAATCCAAACAAATACTACAGTATAGAGACAGGTAATCTAATATATATTTTTTTATCATCTAAATTTATTATTATTATGCCATGAACATTTTGAAAACTCAACTACGTGCTTTCAGAATATGAAAAATATTCTGAAATATTTAGTACTGTTTAATTTTTACATATAATATTTTGGTTCAAATAATATATATATATATATATTATTGTTGTTAAAAATTGCCCCTACTGAAGAAAATTTCTGTCTACGCCACTGCCTATGAGGGACCTTCCCAGGATTAAAGGAAAACCTTTAGAGGCCATTGTTGGAGATTTTCAGAAAACAAGGGGACACTAGCCAATCCCAGCTGCCCAATATTTCAAACAATGTTTAGGAACCTCCTCTTAGGATGATAGCAGTTGACCTTTTTCATGAAGAAAAATGGTTTGGCAATCAGAAATTTCGCACAAGAAATCCACTGACATGATTTTACACAATGGCATTCTCAAAACACAGTAAGAAGTGCCTTGGAGTCTCTTGTTTTGAGATGATAAGAAACTAGGGCTAAAGTGGGTCATGACTCATCAATCCGTCCATATGATCCGTCCACTTTAAAATGAATATGGGTGAACCATTTTAAAATATGAGTCAAAATTGGTGACCCCTATTCAACCCATCTTTATAGAGGATTAAACGTGTTGAATGTGGGTCACCCATTTTGACTCATATTTCATTTATTATATAAGAATCTTAGTTTCACATCTTCTATTTGATTCAAATTTATCTCTTCTTTCTCTCCAAAATTCTCTCACACAATCCCAAATTCTCTCTCTCCCACTCTCTCCCTCTAAAATTCTCTCGTGTCATCCTCTTTCTCTCTCTAAAATTCTTTGGAGCACTATAGTATTATTTTGCTACATCTACATCTACAACACATTGTATTATGTATTATATATGCTCTGCTTTCCTACCTAAGGGATTGGGAAGGCGTATTAGAGTTGCATTAATATTCTTTTTTGGTTTATCTACTTCACCAAAAATAAAATAACATTTACCTTCTTGCATATCTAGTCAAAAAATAAAATAATATAAATTTAAAGAATTTTCAAGATGAATTAGAGAGTTTACAATTATCCATACATATTTTTACAAGTTTTTATTCATATAAAATCAAGAACTATAATAATGAGATTATTCAAAATAATAATATATTTTTTCCTAAAACGGGTTAACGGATCATGACGGATTGACTTAGTCCATTTTGAACTAATTTATATTTAACCCGTTACAAACGGGTTAAATATGAGTCACAACCCGTATTAAACCCACCCATATTAAACCTTATCCAAACCTGACCCAACCCACCTGCTATCCATCCCTATAAGAAACCAACTCATTTTATTACCCAGCTCGCACCCCACCACCACCTGAGCAAACACCTTCAGTGGTACTGTAGCATTTTCAACTCATTTTACAGATTTTAAAGGGAATCCCCTTTTGTAAGTTGTACTTGTTTTAATCATCACAGACTCATAAATGAACTCGGGCATTTGGGACAATTTCACCATTTAACAAGAATAAAAATCAGCAAGGATGGCTTATTTGCTCAAATTGATAGAAATTAGATAATACGAGGCAATAACATCTATTTTTCTCAATGAAATATAGAGAACACCTCAATTCAATTGGTATCTAATTGGATTAACAGGGACAGACAAGTTACAAGGGAGCAAAGGAGAGGGCAGGCAGAAGCAAAAAACACACTGAGATACCTAGCTATTTCAGACCAACCATATAACAATATACAACAATACCTATTTTTTAACAATGCAACGAGGTTACTGCAGAATACTTTATTCAAAAAGAAACTCAGTAATGGTAATCAGTCCATTAGTAACATGCATTATACCTCACGGGGATGTTTCTTAGACAAGTTGAGTCAAAAGAAGGGAAAAGTAAAAAACAAAAACACGACGACAATAAATTTCATTCAGAGATCCATTAGCAAATGCTTGTTTAAGGAGCAGAGAAACAGAATCATAAAAACACAATATAAAATTCATTGTTATCAGAAAGTTGTTAACATACATTTTCACCCTTTGAAATTGGAATATTTTCAATTTAGATCAGTTCATTGATTTTGTAATTTGCAAAAAGTTCATCGGAGGGATTGAAGAAAATAAATCAGAGAGAGAGAACATGAAGGAAACTCGCCCCTTGAGAACAACTTCCATTAGGAAATCCACAAGCACAACCTGCAACTACATTCAGGAACCCAGAGATGTTCTCTGGTTCGTCTTAGAAATAATATTATCAATATAGCATTACGCATGAAAAAAAAAAAAAAAGAAATATCCCATAATTTAATAACAAAACAGTATCGATCAGGAGTAAGAGTTGAAAATGAAGAAGCAAATGTCACAATCCAATACTACTTCCAAGTGATACCAGCTACATCCCTACCTTAACAAAGACTGCTCAATAGAAAAACCAGCTTAAGCAAGCATGCTTCCCTCATAGAGACCAATGTAGCTTGCAAGATGCAGATTCTCATAACGGTGCAAAATCTTAAATCCTTT